TCAAGTGCTCATACTAACCCCCCCCCCCCCACCAAGCTGCTTAAGACCAATGATCAATGATTTTGCTACGGAGATCAATAAATTGATTCCAAGTTAAAACTATGAGAAAATATTGAATTTTATTTTAAAGTTTGTAAGATTAAAACAGATGCAAAAAGACTAAATAACTGATTTGAATTGAACTACCAAAAAAATATTACCGAGGTTGTCTGACGCGGGTTTGATCCCTTACTATGAACCAGTTCCCTGCTATAAAGTGAATAAGTTCTACAGAAACTGCTCCGAGTAAAAAGCAGATGAGTTTTCGAACCTTCATTTCGTTGTACCTGGAAAGTATAAGAATGATTTAAATTACGATTTTTGTTTATTCTGAATACACAAATATAATTTAAATTATGAATTTGGTTATTTTTGAATGCAGCAAATGATTGAGCTACATGATTTAGTTAAATAACATACTGTTACGTACAGTATCACTGAGAACAATTATTGTTCCAACTCAAGAAGTTGTTAAATAAAATATTAATAACAATGTACATTGAAGGATTGAAATTAACATTAGTCGCTTATAGCTTATTACCATGAATAGAATATAAACTTTTAAAACAATAATTTAAATAATTGTTTGGTTCAATTTTGTTCAAGTTCAAACGAATTTTTAGCAGTAAATAAGAAGCTGTCCATTTTGCTATAAGGAGGGTTATATATGGTTCTTAGTGCTTAAAAAATTACGATTTGAAACTGCCTCCTGATCAAGGGGTGTCATAATGCCGAAATTATCAGGCAACAGATGTCTTTGGTGACAAAACTGAGTGAACGAATATTTTTTATGCACCCAATCGCAGGATGATATTTTTTACTTAAATAATAGCTTACTGCGTAGTGCAAACAGAAATATACAATGATAATGGAGTGCTCGAATATAGGAACAAATGATTTTATTAACGTAGGCCTATTAGACATAATCCTTCATGGAATATAGGCTATATATATACTGTCTCTTATACACATCTAGATGTGTATAAGAGACAGCATATATACAGCATGAGTATTGATACTCATGCGCTGACGAAGGTAACAGGAGTTGCCGAAAATTTCGCAAATAAAATATTTCTATGTCTCTTAGAAGTCAAAGTATCGTAGCAGGTTATTTTGTCTGCGTCTACCTACTGATTTATTCTTACGATGAGACATACGTGGATCCACATCAACAACACCGATTGAATATGAATTTATATATATATATATATAGTATATATATATATATATAAATTACTTGCTATATGATATAATATTCAAGTATGTTTGTTATAATTATATTTATTAGGTTTTCTTACCTAGTCACTTGTGCCTGTAGATCAACACACCTCCATGCCTGGTATACTAACTGTTGAGTGCCTGTGTTTTGCGCGTCGACATGACTGACGGAGTAATCGTACTGGTCGATTCGTGCGCATTGATATGTAAAGCGTTTGAAATAGTGACCGCGAAAACATCGATCAGTAGATTCTTTAAGTAGGTTTAAAGACAATTGGCTTAAGAACGTATGTAAAATGGGATCAACAGCATCGATACAACTACTGTCATGGGCGTCGATCGGTGGGGACAGGGGGACACGTCCCCCACTTTTCAAAGTAGGGGAGCACCATATCAATTTCCCCCCTCCACTTTTCACCAACCTTCTATAATTAAAACCCCACTTTTCAAAGCGAATGTAAAGAATAACAATTACACATGACTGTCATGAATTTTGTCTGTTCACTTTACCCAGTGCGGTACTTATTTCCGGACCAAAACTGAGTAAAAACGCACTGTTGTTTGTATATTTCGAAACCATCTCAGTAACCACTACATCGATTTTATTTTATTCAACGGGAAAGGTTATCACAGGCTAAATTTATTTTGAAAACACTGATGTACTGTACGTTGTTAAAATTGGAAGCGTGTAAACTTAGGCCCTATATTAAGCCAATATTTTTGCAAACTCAAAAGTGCAAAATTTCTACTATAAACGAGTTATTCCTTTTGTATACTGTATTATTATGACCCGTACGTATGCTAGTGTTTAATATTATCTGCATACATAGGATCTGTTTTTCCTAATTTCAAAAACTTAGTTAGTCAGTTGAATTTTATATAGCCGTTATTAAACAATAATTGTAGGCCTACAGCCTACACGGGCAGGTCTATCTATTTCGATTTATTTAATTAGTGATACCACGAATTTACAAACTCCAGTGCTACGTTGGCGCAATATCGCAATGACATCATAAGAATCAGTGCCGGATTCAAGTGGGGCCGAGCCGACCCACCCCCTACCTTTAATTTTTCAAAATAAAAAAAAATAAAAAAAAAAATTGTAGAAAAACCGGAAAATTATAATTAGAATTTAGGTCTGAGAGTGTCATAATCATAAATGTTCCCAAATTGGTGGTGGCTGTAAGGTATAGACTAGAAATGACCTATACTTGTATGAAAACTAAACAAGAAACTGAGTGGTTAAATGTTAAAATTGACACGATGTATTTTACGAAATGTAACCCACGCACGTCACTATAGGCATATTATATAGGCCTAGGCCTAGACCTAGTCTATAGATTAAGAAAAAAAATATGGTTTGATGTTAGGCCCCATAAAAAAAAATTATTAGTTTATCACCTTATCAAAGAATAAAAACTGATGAGGGAGGGAGGTTTTTTTTTTTTGTTTTTTTTTGCTAATCCTGCCCCAATTTTACCGATGATCACAAGTAAATCAATGGTTAGGGACACATATATAAAAAGTCATAAGAATGGAATCAAAGAAATAAAAATATATGTTGATTGAAAAAAACAAAAAAAAAATCTGATTTTTCCCAAAAGTGATGAGGGAGCGGGTGATCCTAATAATTTTTTTATGGGGCCTTATATTTATTGCTCAAGGTGTCAAAATATAAATTTGAATTAATTTTTCATATTTTGAGACTACTATATTTGTTTTGATACAATAAAAAAAAAGAAGTGTCGCCTAGGGGTTAATGTGTATTGATGATTTGGCCATTTGGCACACGTAGGGGGCCTACTCAGAAAGTGTCCCCGCCACTTAATAGGAGTGTTAGGACTATATTATTTCCCCCCTCGTTTCGTTTCCTCGTTTGGAGGGGTTCTATTTTATAGTCATATTTTTCAAGACATTTGGCAGACATTGACTTGACGTTCATGATGGGCAGTAAGATTCTTTGATGAGTGACCACCAAGTTTTGGCCCGATTTCTGTGCTTCTAAATTTCGCGCGTTTTCATTGTCCAATCAACGACGAGAGCAGACGACATCATCAAGTGTGTACGCTCGCGATCGTTGAAATGTTGCTTGTCTTGTTCCTAGGCCCACGACACCCACGAGAAGTTACAGTAATTCTTATTAATTAGCAACAGCCATTAGCAAAGACAGGAGGTAGGTATCTGGTGGTATGGTTAAAAAAAAAGCAAATTAGCTTGGATCAAGTGCAATCCATTGATCGTGGGTATGAAAGAATGTTCGCTGCTGCTGGTCGTCTTCTTTTCTTAGTTAGGCTAGGGTAGCCTAGCCTAGGCTAGGCCTAGCTGGTGTCGTGTAGCCTAGGCCTAGTCTAGACCTCAAGGCCTAGGTTAGGCCTGCCCCTACACAAGGCCTAACATAGCTCTTCTAGGCTAGGTAGGACTGTTTCTGCCGCTTTTTTGTGTATTGTATCTTCTCATATAATTGACCAACAAAAACAATTATCAATGTTTTCTACATTTATTGCACTGTAATGCCAATAATAATATGGTGGTAGGCCTATCTATAATCTATGGACCTAACCTAGGCCTAGCCGTCCTACCTAGGCCTGGCTACCTAGGCCTAGACTAGGCTAACTCATATTTTAGACGGTACTCATATTTCACTTTCCAACAAAGTTTGTGATATTCATGTTTATTATTACCTAGGCTAGTGATTCAAAATTTTTTTTAACATACTGAGGGTATCAAAAATACTGTAGCATACCAAACCAAATTAAATTCGCAGTGGCTAGAGATACGGTTCCGTATTTATACTTCAATTTGCTACTAAAGGTATGGTAAATGAAATTATGTCACCATCACCCAATGGAGAGCCAGAATGTGCGTTATGTCATCTTTCAAGACTGGCATTGCAGATCACCCACACTGAGTGGTGAAACGCGAACGATTACGTTTAAATGTACAATACTGTAAGTACTTAGTACTGTCATCAATAAATAGGTATATGATGGTTCCATTCAGTAAGAGTCATGTCATTTATCTATATATATTGTAGCCATTATCAAACAAGGACTGAATCCTGTACCAAACTCTTGGCATATGCCAAGTGAAGAAATAAGGCAAGCCCTAGGCCTTGTTTGGATTCTTCGTTTGGTGGCGGCCCTGCTATAGTGACGGATCGATCTGGGTGGCATATATCAGTCATAAACTAATTCATCCATGGTCAAGTTCTTAACCCCCAAAATCTCATTCCAAGAAGTCCTAGGTTATAATATATTCGAAATTGCCACGCTTTACAATCCGACCAACATATTCATACACTTTGAATGCACATGCATAACCGATACCTCCTTGATTTACCCAACTTTACGTAGACTTCGTCGCTGTTATATTACTTTCCCCACAGACATGACTCTTATTACTGAGTGGAACCTTTACGTCTATTTATAGATGACAGTATTATAAGAAAATACTCTACTCTTGCCTAGCTAATCATGTCCTAAGTACGTTTCGCTAGTCACACTGCTCACCCTCACACTGGGCGATCTGCAATACCGGTCTTGAAAGGTGATGTCACACACATTCTGGCTCTTCATTGGGTGATGGTGATGTAATGCCATTTATTTATTTATTTATTCTTTATTTATACTGAATATACACTAGTACTGGTTTCCAAAGTGGTTCAGTTCTTAACTACCAAATTTTAAAAGCAGATATATACACATTGTAACCAAAAAAGATTGATAACTTAACTACAAATTAAAATAGATTTAAAAGGAACATTGAAAGAAACTTAAGAAAAATAAAAAATTTAATATAGATATGGATATGCAAATTGAAGTAGATATACGGTACTGTGTATCTCTAGCCACGGCAAATTAAATTCCAGGCCTGGCATTATAAATAATTTTTTCATTCAATTCCTGATTGAAATATGCTACATAAAGTAGTATAACTAAAAGGATAAGAATACAGTACAAAAAATGTTGGAATGCAATATAATGGATGATGGTAGACATCAGCCTAAATAAATACATATCAATCATGTTGAATTTTTTTAGGCCTTATCATAAAATGAATGAAAAATAATAGGAATACTCCCGATCATCCATTACCCTACTAGGCCATCCTTAGGCCTAGAGTAAGGCTCGTCTAAGCTAGGTAAGACCTCCGCTTGGTCCTGCCCTCTTGTAGGCCTAGTACGTTTGAAGTGTGTGGGATGGAAATTTATTAATTTCTTGTGATTTGTCTTTGTTATTCAAATATGTGGTACATTTTTTCTGTCTTCCTTTTTGATGCATTTTTTTTTTACTTTTTGCTGCAACCTTTACCTTAATTCTTAGATCAACCATGCCTAGAGCTACTGTTGGAAGAAAGAAAGTGCAGAAACAAGAAACAACAGAAGAAAAATTTGACTTCGAAGATCAGGATGCAAACAATGAAGAGCAGACCTCAGGTTATCATTAATTGTTTGACCATAAAATGTACAATACATTGTTTCGTTAAGCCCCACCCCCTTACATATACCATAAAACCTTGTATTGAAGCTCAGGGGGGCTTAATCCCCGGGGGGGCTCACTCTTGAATATTACTATATGGGAGGTGCCGCATTTTCGGGGTATATTTTCGAGGACTTGGTAGCACAAGTGTGGGAAATATCGGGGGAGGGGGGGAGGTTGGGAGTTGCAGCATTTATAGGGTATACTTGCGAGGACTTTCTAGCACAAGTGTGGGAAAGTCCCTGGCCTATCCTGTGTCAAAGTGCCACGATTTTCCGCATGATGTTAGTGGGAATTTCAAGCTAGACTGGGTGCTAAGCCAGTAAGCCCCTTGCTAAGCCTACCTTTAGTACAGCCCCACGAGATCGCGACTGGAATTAGTACTTTTTGCCATCGTGAACCAGTCAATATTGCGAGATGAAGCCCATATCGAATTGAAGCCCCCCTTTTTAGTTTGCAAAATTAGCCTTGAAAATAAGCCCAAAATAGCATAGGCTTCTCTTTTCGAGATAGTACAGTACATACACTGTGCATGAATTTCAGAAAACTAAATAAATTAAAAGCAATCTTGGTTTATACATTAGTTTAGGTGATTTAATGCCAGTTAAATACATTCCATAATACAGATTAATGTTACATTGACCTTATTTATTGTTTAATTGTACAACTTCACAAAATTTACAGCATTCATTTTGGAAAAGAACCCCCCCCCCCTCCACTCTTTACTTTGCAAAGGTAGTCTCGAAAAGAAGCCCATCTTGAAAAGTAGCCCATCAAGGAAACTTGAAAGTTCGCAAAAAATGAAGAAGCCCAGGGCTTTAATTTGAGGTTTTACGTTAGTTTATTGGGTCCCACACTACATCAGCTTGAACATACATAATCATGTGTATTTTTGGGACAATGTATCTGTTTTGGAGACTTGTGTATTCTTGGCCCTATTGGTGACAGTCAGTTAAGTTTGATTGACACGTCAAAAAGGTTAATTAAATGCCGTGAGCATCACCATATTGTCATCACCTTTACAAATGTCAAAGTCCTGTGTCAGGACTCGGCACCAGTTGCAGATTAACCACAATGCGAGGAAATGGGTTCTTGTTTTCCAGCAGCAGCAAAAACTCCCAAACAAACCATGAAATTGTTTAGATACTTATAAAGTGGCTAAAGCTCTAATGCTTCCAGATGGTAAGGTAAGGGAACATTCCCAACCCAAACCATAGGTCCTTGATTGGTACTTCCTGGGGCGGATGCAGTGGGGTACAGACAGTGTGATCCACCTCACTAAATTTTATTAAGAAAAATAATTGTTGTATTATATTGTTGATATGAAATAAGATTTTAAAGGTGTTGGAGTGCAATTTCTGGGCACCTAGGGGTCCATAAACTCAAAATTTTCCCACCTCAGCTCATGGTGGGGCTGAGGTGCTGTGGACTTTCACGCACCCTCTACCGCCAAATCCTGCTTCCGCCCCAGTTTACTCCACACTTTTTATCAGAACCAAACTGGATCCAAAGACAAACATCTCTACATACAAACCACAGTCATAATGGGATGATTGGAATGTATAAGTTCAAAATTAAATATATAGTAAGTATAGGTTTTAAATTGAACTCTTCCCAGTTTTTATGAAAATTGATATTCCATTAATTTGTTGTGCTTTTTCCATTTTTGAATTAGAATTTGAAGAGCAAATTGTAAACAAAAAAGGGATGAAAAGACCTTATGCTGACGATGCTGAAGACAATAATTATGCCGAGCCTCCGTATGAGTAAGTTTTAACTGAGCACCAAATGATTTATTATATGATGTATTACTGATTTATGATAATTGCTTTCTTTCTATGACATCATCATAGTGAAGAAGACCACTAAACAACCGATCCATCTGATATGCAATGACCAATGCTGACATTGCTTCCTTAGAGTTCTCCCCACTTGCTGCCAGTATCTGTGTTTGTGTGCCCAGAAATGACAATCCATGGGAAATTTTGCTCAGATTTACCCAGCGTAGTAATGTTAATATAGTAAAATGGTAATTTCTGATGATGGTAATGTTAGTTTGTACAAAAACTGACAGCATTGTTGTTTTACAGATTTTATTTAGTTTAATTATTAATTGACATTCAGTTTCTGTAATTGAATCTATGTACAGTGCTTCATGCTTCATGAGCATTGTTTTTTACTCATTTGCATGCTGAGAAGACAGATGTCAAGTGATCTTCTCACCAGCTCCCCTCCCCTTTAATGACATTAATAATTTTTTTCAAATTCAATTAAATACTGTATAACAAACTGCAACACAAAGGAAACCAATGACAAATTTGCATTTTTAAATCACAACTGTTTATCAATCTGTTCAAACCTTCTAATTTCATCATAGCGCCCTCTATACATAGGTTGTGTTTGCCTGAGTCTTTTTGCTTGTGAAAAGATGTACAGTAATTAGGGTTTAAGCTCTCATATATCTAGAATTAAACCTAATATTTTACTACTTAGTTAATTATATTTTTATTTTATAATTTAATCTGAGACACATGATATACAATTTATGTTTATACAGTCAAATTACTTCATAAATTGTAAGTGCAAGCACGTATTGAAATCTCAATTTCATAAGTTTAAGCCAATAAATATACAATTACATTTTTTATATAAAATTATATTTATTTGTTTTTAAACTTATATTGAAACTGTACTATTACAAATATGTTTCTGGAAGAAAATTCTGGAAGTAAATCATTTTTCTGAATAATCAACAGTAGCATCATTCATTTTACATCAATTATTCACTTCAGTAATACCTTTTTTTAATTTTGTTATTTGTTAATTCTTCAGATTTGTCAGTTTTAAGTTGAGCCATTTTTAGTTCCAACTAACCACTTTAACAGTGTTGATTCTTCTAACGATGGTGTTGTAAATCATTTTCTAAAAGGGTAAGTTGTGTTTTATGGAACCATTTTTATTGAACTTTCTTTCAAGATCCTACTCTGCTTGTTGTAATATAGTGCATGATGAGAAAACAACAGTAGGCCTATACATCTCAGTCCACATTATCAATTTTTTTTTTACAAAACCTGTTATATGCCCATATATAGTCACGATGTGCCTATATGTGGTCATAATGTCACATGTTTTTGTCAAATAAAATTTGATAGTCTGGACAGGGCTTGAGAATTTGGCTGTACCATACAAAGGGATCCTGAAATGGTAATATTTAGGCTGGGTGAATCTTGTATCTGAATCTGAAGTTCAATCTGATTCCTTCTAACAATCAGTTGTGGTCCCAGTAGACTATGATGCTTTTTAAAACCCTGTGCACACTATCATTGTGACAAATACTGGGGCGGGTGCAGACAGTGCAATCGCACCCCCCCCCCCCCCCCCATCCCCCCCCCCCCCCCAAATTGTATTAAGAAAAATGATTGTTGTACCAACCATGGTGAGGCTGAGGTGGTGTGGATTTTCACGCATCCCTACTGCCAAATCCTGCATCCGCTCCAGAAATATATGTGATTTGTCCGTATATGGATGTGATATGATATGCCTATGTTTAGGCAAATCACAGATATTAGTCATAGAAAACTTGATAATGAGAACAAAGCTTTACTGATATTCATACAAAGCATTATAGTTAAAGGTATTTATAACAATAAGTCCACTATCAAAGTGGTTTCATCAGTCTCAAAACCCCTGCACAATGCTAAACAAATTATACTTCTACTTCAACAGTTTATACAGACTACTACTTCAGAGCATGTGCTAATATAATAAATAACAACAAAGTGTTTTATTGATATGATAATCTTCTTTTAGATTTATTTGATCATTCTTTATTGTGAGGATGTGTTTTAATTCATGCATATTGAGATTCACTCACTTTGCAATTGAAGAGGATTGTCTCACAGCATCATAATCTCCTTTTTTGTGACTTGACCTACTTTCTGTAGATATAATACTGTCTGAAATTTGAATAGTTAACTCTATAAACGTATAGATATTAATTATGGGGTTTTTTTTTGTAGATAATTAGTTATTTTAACCTCATAACAAAGCACAATAGTAATGTAAATTTTCTTACTATTATACACATTTTGGCATGAATGTTTGATAACTGTGTTTTAAAAGAAAAGAGAAAATAACAATTTGAATAAAAATTTATCAGCAATTTTTAAAAATCTGTTTAATTAAATATTCGTAATATTCATCATAATTTATACATTCAATTCAATTTGTTGGTGGCAGTCTTTGTTGCTGTGGTTATATATGTACGGAAAGTATACAAATAAACATTAATAACACTAATACACTAAATATAGTTTTTACTTTTATCTTTTGCATAGTTAACCAATTGTATACTCCTGGATACAAATTTCAATTGTACTGTGTTGTATTGTCGTCAATAAATATTCCTTGATTCCTTTTATTCCTTGAATAAGCAATTCATGCATGAAACCATAATTTCATACCTCTATTGAAGAGCCTAAGGTCCTAAATTGCATTCTTACATAAAATATTGGAATTGTTCATAGTATCTGTTTAAATCATAATAGATCTACTTCTTTTTGTTAGTGTACTCCTTCACCCTAATGGGTTGTCCTGATATTTATATGTATGTCACTATCAGTATGTTTTAATATAATTAGTATCTAATTAAATTCTATCTATTAATGATACTAGATGATTATTATAGAGTATTGAGTCTCCTAAATAATCAGTTTTGCTGGGTTAAGCACCTAGTTAAATATGGTTATATAAATATAGGTTTTCAAATGAATTTAAACTTTTTTTTCAGTAATGAAGTTCAAAATATGCTACAGAGTTTTGGAGGTATGTAGTATCTGAAATGACCTATGATGATTTTGATTTGATTTTTTTTAAAGCATGCTTCACAAATTATAATTTTGTTTCGCATGATACTAATTATTATAGGTTTAGTGTGTTTGTGCTTTTTTAGCTGATCTGCGTAAATCTATCTGTGGCAAGAGGAAACGATTGGAAACATTTACTCAACAGTCGATGAAAGCAGCTAATAGCAAGGTGGAGAAAATGTGGAAAACGCAGCAGAGTCAAAGGTAAATGGGTAACAAACAGAGTAATATTATATAAAAGATATATAATGCCATTACCATAATTATATAGCATGTACATTGTATCTCCACTGTATGTAAGCCCTCTGTGCAGTGTTTCTATATTTTAATTCGATGACCATGAATTCAGGCACCTTAAAATCCAAAATACCCCAAAATGATAATCTACAATTATGGTTCTAAAAGGTTTTAACTTTTCCATTTAAACAAGTATATGCCATGATTAAATTCTATACAATTATATTGAGACTGATTGTACTAGATACTGACTTGTGTCCCCAATGTTCCATCCCGAATACGCTAGTTACTCTACTGGACCAATGATTTACTGTACTTTATTGTTACTCTCATTTTTTAACCTAGCACTTGGTATTGTAATCACTGAATCACCCACAGTTCCTAGTTTGAAAGTTCAATTTAAAATGCACCTTGTTAACATCTAACATGCACAACATCTTGTGATTTTTTTTTCACTTCAGTATACTTAATGCATATACAAAATTTTAATTATAGACGTATTCTTACTAAGTTGCGTTTAGGAGTCCTTGAATTAGAAATTGAAACTGGTAGATGGTCAAAAATTGATAAAAAAGATAGATTATGCAAACATTGTACATTAAATTTAGTTGAAGATGAGTATTATTTTACTTTAATTTGCCCTTGTTACACTGATATTCGCAAACATTATATATTCAAGTATTTTATTGTTAATCCATCCAAAGTTAAGTTTACTCAATTAATGTCCACTACTGATATCAATACAATAAGTTGTTTCTGTAAATTTCTTTATCACTCATTTAAACGTAGAAGTGATCATTCCCTCTGTAAATAGCTATTATATTTTATTTGGGCCAAAGGCCTTATATAAAAAATGAAATAAATGTCCTTGGCCAATACGTGCCAAGGAACGGAAACGTATATTGGTGCTTTGTGAATGATAACTTTGGTATTTTTATTAGTTCAGAAAGAGTGATCGATTCAAGATTTAAAAAAATTGCAACAGACAATATTTAAATAAATGTACTGTAATATATTCTATAAAGCTATAGAGAACATAATAGTAAAGTAAATATATTATTATTAGTATAATAAAGTAAATATATTATTATTATAATAAAGTAAATATATTAGTATAATAAATTACATAGTTGTCATATGAATTTCTGTATAGATTTGCATGTTATGCATTCTCATATTCTCCCCTATTTCATTCCTCTTCTACTTATGTGCTTAGTAGAAAAAAGCATTTGCCATATAATTGCTTGCTCATCGAAGATATTTTTGCCTCTGTGCTCTCCCCAACAAAAATTGCACCCAGTAGCCAATCTGCTTAAGTTGGTTTAGTCTAGCCACCAAAGACTAGGATACTAAGCCGCTCAGCCAGTCTCGCAATCGGAAGCATATTTGTGTTAAGCCCTACCTACCAACATAGCCTGCCTGCCTGCCTGCTTGCCTGTATGTCTTCAATTAATTTTGAGTCTTTTAATTTTTATTAGGCAAAAACTAAATGAAGAATACAGCAAACAAGTAAATACAGTCCTTGACCAGTGGGATGCAGATGTCAGTAGAGTAAAGGAACAGGAGGAAAAATTGCAGGTATGTCAAATGGTCTTGGTTGTGGTTCATCACTTATATACCACCAGCCAAACAAGTTCAGATCATTAGTATTAAACTTTATGGGAAGTATAGTTGGTTGTGATTCCTCAAAATGTGGACCCGGTTTAGAAAAAAATAGTTTGTGCCTCGACCGTGAATTGATAAAATGTCTCCAGCACCAAATGTTGCCTGCACAACATATAGCCCAGCAGTTTATATTTTTTGATTTGTTTTCCCTAAAATGCCTCCAGAAAATTAATGTTGCCTCTGACCGCTGGTCGTGCAGTCGTGCACTTTTGCCATCCCTGATTTGGACATTTAAATAATTTTACATTTTTGTATTTCAGCCCTTGAATGTAGGTTTCTCTCAATTTTTAGACTTTTGCTATTTCAAATTAAATCTTTTCTGATTGCCTTTTTAGAATCAGCATTGGAATAAAAAATTATGGGTTATAGGGGTGTTCTTCTGAAGATATGGTATATCGGAATCAATGATCATTTTGTGATGCATTATTTCGGCGAATCTTAATTAATTTCAAACTGCCACCCAAGAAAAACGAACAGAAATACAAAATTTCAGCTTTTTCTTTTCTTGAGATTATCTTTAAATGTGCAAGAATTTAAAACAAAATTATAACCCACGGTCTTTGGTGAGTCGCTCACTTTTGGATAAGAATGATATGAATAGATAAATCAGAGTGATTGAGACTGGTATAAAAAAAACTTGAATTAAGATTATTGTATTTGATTTTTTTTTTTTAATCTTACAGTCTCTCTTCAAGCAACACCAAAAGCTTTTCCAACAGTCAAGAGTGATTATGAGTCAGAGACTGAAAACTATAAGGCAGCTGTTTGAGCAGTACTCAAAGGTTGGATTAATGTTTACACACACACACACACACACACACACACACACACATGGATAGTACATGGTTTGGAAAAGTGCTAAATTTGTTTTTAATCCCTCCCTTCCTTTTCTTTTGTGTCCTTGAGCAAACCTAGGAATATAAATGAGTACCTGGTTTGGTTACCAGTTACAGCACCAACACTTGTGCATGTGGACCCAACGATTCAATAAAATGTGCTTCATAACTGAAAGAAAAGGTGCTATATAAATGCTTGCCAGAGGTCCCAAAACTCCCGCAACTCACAAGATTCTCCCTTAAATCGGGATTGCCTCCTGCACTTTTGCAAGCAAGCAAGAATCTCCTAGAAAACACCCCATCTCCCACAAATTCATAATATGTTTTTACTGCTTTATTTATATCAGTTGTCTCATGGAGAAAGGTTTGAGGTAGACAAACTGTGACAAACAATTTTGTATAACTAAAATACTAAAAACATTGTGTGAAAAAATATGTCCAAGGATACCAGACGATAACTGTTGCCAGAGGTGGTTGCCTGTCCATTCACTAGATCTATAAGTACAAATTTTAATGTATCTTAGAAACAGAATTGTTAATAAACATAGTTAGCTTCCACAAACTAGTAGTGGTGACGTGACATTTAGTTGTATAACGAGCATCGCGATCAGTGCAGAAGAGTAGGTCAGGAATTGTTTTGGTTTCATATCCTCTTGCAGGCCTCAAATTTGGGGATTTTATGGGCAAGGCCAAATGGACTCCAGTATGACATGATTTTGAAAGGCACCAAGGCCAAATGGAAAGGCACCAAGGCCAAAATTTCAAATATAAAAGGGCACCAAGGCAAAATTTGATTTAGCCTCAGTACTAATCTTTCGCAAGTGCCTTGATTCGTAGCCAGGCTAGGCCTACAGTAGGCAAGCTAGGCCAAGCCAAGCTATGCCTAGCCAAGCCATCATTAATGGTAAAATGACTTTGTTTAGAGTATTAATTATCGATTCAATTTTGGAATATACTTTTAGTTTTTTGCGGCAGTCGGCGATCGTAAACAAAACAGTCAAAGTTCAAGAAGTTCAATATCTGATGTTGTTGCTCAGTGCGTTCTCATCGGAGAGGAGGCCACACCTCTAAACTGGCCGTCATCCAACTAGCTTAGCCGAGTGTCAACCAATTAGGTTAATTTCACACGCTTGAGCTGCAATGACGTCAGATCACCCAAAAGCTAGCTAGCTGCACAGCATCAAGCACATGTTTAAAACTACAGTACCTGTTTACTGCAATTACCGCTCGAGTCAGACGGATGCACACACAACGGTAACCGCAAAAACAGTTTGTATCAACACACATGGAAATTCTCTTGTTCTGTCACTGCAACCTTATCTAGCCTAGGCGATTTACGTTTTTGGCTTTCGTGTTTTCTTTCAAGATTTGAACGTTCTTGTTTAGATTTATTTTACGTGTCAAATGATCTATATTAAGCGTCGTGAGGGCGCCAAGGCTGCAAGAGGGCAGGCAAGTAGTGGCTGTCCTCGTGCTTCATTTTCAGGGGCACCAAGGCCAACTGGGAGGGCACCGTCGGCAATGGCCGCGGTGGCCGCCGTAAAATTTGAGGCCTGCTCTTGTTTTCCATGTGCCAAAACATAGAGGCTACCACTATAATTCTGATTATCAGTTTCCAATATCTAGGTCTAGCTATCCCCTGCCATTGAGCGCTGACAGGCTGACGACAACCAGGCCTAGCACGAACCGACAGTGCAGCAGCATGGTCCACCGTGCTAGAGCCTTGCTGAATTTACCTGAGATAAAAACCAAATTATTTTAATCACTGGCATTGTTCCACTTAACAAAATATTTTAACTCTTATTCAAACATCTGTATGTTTTATGCGATCATATCTAGCATTCATGATGTCAATAAATTGCTGACCCCAACACTCTTGTTCGTTGTCATCGTAAACATGGGCCCTACCACTTGCGTTGGTAGTTCGTTGTTCTTGTTAGGTTTATTACATTGATATAGTGATTATTATACCAGAAATAGTGCTATCGTTTAGGGTGAAAGTACTTTTTCCCCGGGAAAAATGAACTGTCATTCAAACCTACGTCATAGTGATGGTTGAAGTTATTGCCCGCTTCTTAACCAATCAGATGCCCAGAATCTATGTATGCGGTATATAATAATTACTTCAATTTACTTTGACCATGATCGTAGTCGGATGAACTCATTGAGTGTGTGTAAGGCAAAGAACCATGTTTACAGTACATGTCCCATTGTATTGTAGTGATTAAATTTCACACTAATTAACAACAATTCCCATGAAATTTACAGTATACAATTGTGATAAGAGGGGCTTATGCTTAAAGATTAACATGTATTTCCTATCACCTCTCGAATTATAATTTTTCTCTCAATCACAGACCATTGCATGTTTTGATAGGTAAATGAATTATCTCTTGTTTACATTTTAAAGTGCTTTGCCATATCAAAGAGATCAGATTAAGGTTTCACAGAATATCAAGGTTGGTTTATCGCTCTAATCCCTAAAAACCCATTGCTAAGTGCCTGCTCTAATTTTGTGAATACATTATAAAATTGAAATTGTGATCAGAGTTCTAATAAATAAGTTCTGTGGTGGAAATTCCTGAGAAGTACTTTTTGAATAGTCATTTCTCGTTTCAAGGTTACCTTGTTTTCAATTTTAAAAGAAAAACAATAAATTTTGATTTTTTTTTTTTTTTTTGGTCCAATTTACTTCCACTTGTATAGCTGCATACCAAACCATGTTTTGTGATTTTTAGTTTATTTTTATCGATGTCTTTTCAACACTTTCATTTTAAGGGGGGTTTCGGGTTTTATTATAGACAATATATTAAATCAATGATTCGGTAATGTTTCTAAAGTATTTACAAAACAGACAATATAATAATAATTAAAGTAATATGTTTGTACTTGTTAAATTATTTATTAAATGAGCAATGTATCTTTTAACACTACAGCCAACCCCTATTGGGACAGGGACACTTTGAGTGTGCAAACGGTCAAATCAATACAATTAGGGGGACAATTTGTCAATCTAAATGAAAAGTTATTGTAAAAAGTTAAAAATTAATAGAATTATTATATCAGTATGATAGCTATTATGCCAAGAAGCTCTTGTTGTTCTACCATTATAAAGTAGACATCCTGTTTCCCTTTCGGGTCAGCATGGGCCACATGATTTTGATAATACCCTCTATGCTCTGATGGATAAACCTTGTGCTTGTCATATGATATGATGGCATGGGTTTGTTACAGTAGATGCTTGCCTTATACTTCCAGAGGAGCTTTGGTTCAAATCCTGAACCTAATACAAAGATTATTTCTCATCATCACTTGAAAAGAACTCGCTTGTTTTCTTCTCATATTCAATTCATTTTTCACCTGTTTATGTTTTCAATGTTTTTAATGTAGTACTAATGTATAGTGTTTCTCCTCTTTAACTATTGTACAGTAATTTTAATGTTTTTATTCAAATAATGCAATGTTTTTCTCTTATTGTCATGATTGTGCAATTGTTTCTTTTTTAGTTTTTGTAATTTTTCCTTAATTCTATTGTTTGCTCATTTTTGATGCAATGGTTCCCAATTCAGAATTTTTTGGCTGCCATTTATTATGTCTTTAATTCTGTCCTGAATAAATACCATTATATATATTTCCTAAGATTGATAGAATTAAAAAGTAAATTATACTTAACTTTTATAAACAATTAAACATAGACTAATAATATTACATTTTGAGTTAGAACTATAATTTAGGAAAAATACATAAAATAAAATGTAAAAGAATATATTTAAGAAATATGTGAATGAACAAAGAAGTATTCATGTGGTTAAGAACTTGAATATGTACCCATCTATTTAACATAATAGTTGAGTACTTGTATTACTATTGTGTTATCTCAAAGTTATTGAAACATTAAATTTTAAATGTTCAAAGAAAACAAAGAGCATTATTATCACAAAGATGGTGTGCATGAAAGCAGATTAAAATGGGGGTCAATATCACGAAACTAGTAACAAATTAAGAATAAAGCTGGTACAAACTGTGTTTGCTGACTGTCAGCTGATATATCCATCCTCTGTGTGAGCCCTTGATGCGATGATATGTCCGAATTGTTTATGGCAATCTAAGTTGATTGTCGTATAAACGATCCTTGACATGCTTTGTCATAGTTTTCATGGAATTGTGCATTGTGTGCCAGGCTAGGAGATTCGTTAATGTTGGCAGCTATGTTCCATGGCACGATTCTGTCCTCAACACCGAGTTACAAGTGCTTTGTACGACATTTTGTACAAACTCCATTAAGGAGTACATGAAATGAATAAAATTTAAATTTTGCTATAGATCATAGATCACACTGCCAGAAAAGTCTTTAAGCTAACTACAGTAGGGGGCGCCTTTATTTTGAAAACTGATATCTTATCTAATATTATACTTATCGATCTGACCTATAGCAAGTTTAGTTTTATGATTTGTGTTGTTACCTCTGAAGAATTGTTTTGTATTCTCACGGTCATTTGTGAAACATGCAGAAATATTTTTTCTGATGGTGTTAGTAAATATATGTTTATTTGAATTGAATTGAACTTAAAATACCAAAGGTTTACATTGTATAGAAGATAATCGTAGTGGCATGCACAGTTTATTATCCTCTAAAGCAGTCAAAGTTTAAATACCAACCATCATAAAGATACATTTTTTCATATACAGAACTGTAATTCACATTTGTGATTCTGGTATTTACTAGGAGCCAGTTTTTTTCCAACAATAAATAGAGCTTCTTGTATTTTCCAATTGTTATATTTTTATTAGGGCTGATTTATTGTATTGCAGTCTATTTGTGGTTAAATGAAATTCCATGTAAAGCTTAAACCTATAAGTCGTTAAGGCTATTTGTTATTTACGTCCATTACAAAAACTACTTCCCCAAGGGGTTGTTTTAAGCAGGATTTGTTCAGAAATGTAGCAATCAAAATTCAAAAAATTAGAATAAATGAATGTAATAACAAAGAGATGCGACTAAAAAAATAGGATAATATATAATACATAAAGAAAGCAGAACCATATGCTGTAACTTAAAGAGCACCCTCTGTTTCAGTCTGCTTTGACAAGGTCCTTCCAACATGTTCAACTCTTCAAAATCAAGTTGAAATATTTAAATTATTTATTAAAAATATAATTTAAAAAATACAACTTATTAGGCTATCCTATCTCATGTTTTTGCATGTTTATATATTTTTTTAACTCTTTGTAATACAAACCATTAGAGCCTTTGGCTGCTATTTGTAATTTTATGTTTTGTATACTGAATAAATAAAATAAATAAATGTATTTTTTGAAAAAAAAAAAAAAAAATTAAAGTAAGACAAAATCTCACAAAGGAGATGTAAAGCAGACAGTTTTGTGCAAAGGGGGCTTAAAGAACAAGATAATTGTATGTCAACAGAAATATAGCCCTATAGTATGCTCTCATTATTATATAGCAGGGGTTCTCAACTGTATCGCAATAAGGACCAAAATTGTTCATTGAATAAATTTGAATGGCCAGGGCAAGAGGTGTACTATGGTGCGTCGTGCCATCTGAGCACCGCAGGTGTGAGGCGGGGGAGGGTTTGGAAGAGGGTGTCCCCCTTCCTGAATTAGAAATATTTTGAAAATAATAAGCCCTAGACTCTCATACAGGGCATCTTGACCTAAAAAAGTTACCCTTGTGTTTGGTAATGCAAAAGTCAAAATGTTATATATCACACAATGAGTCATCGGTAATACAGTACAGTATTTCTTCAGGGGCGGATCCAGAGATGTCCGAAAGGGAGCTAAAAGTGGGACTGATGGAGGCAACACTACCCTAGGGGTCCGGGGATATGGCCCCGCGAAATTTTTGTTTTCTAGACCCCCGAAAATAACCTTAGAGGCATTTTGGGTGATCAATTATTTCTTTTTCTTTATTTTGGCACTGTTCTTTGCTGTTTGCTGCGAAAGTTCTTCCGATTTGATTGATTAAATTGCTACAATTTTAGGAGCAATATATATGCCTAGTCGGCAAAACCAGAATACAAAACTATTAAGGTTAGAAATTTAGGCTCAAGTCTAATGGGAAAGTATAATTTTCAGCTTGTTCTCACGGGCCGCATAACACGCACTCGCGGGCAGAAGATGGCCCATGGACCGCCAGTTGAGAACCCCTGTTATAATATAGTAATGCTATGCTTGTTTTAGTATGTAATGAATGTTTCTACTGTAATATATGTTGATTTCGTATACTCTATATCAATACTAATATCTTGAAAATGTTTTTATTTTGGACAAAGTTTAATCATCATTTGTTATTTTCTTTGTTGAATTTTGATTTACTTTTAATAATGTTTCAAATGGTCAGTTTTGTTGAACTTAATTTCAAACCCAACCATCTTATACTTCCATAGACTATGAGTGATCTTGAAATTAACCACCAAGAACATCATGGCAGAGTACAAGGAGAGCTTAAAAAGGAAATGAGTTTGCTGCAAAAGAAAATATTAATGGACACTGTAAGAAAAACTTTTTGTTATGATGAATTTGTCTTGGCATTCAGTAATTATGTTGTAAATATTGTTAATGAGAAACAATTTTTAAACTACTAAGTACCTTTTAAACTACTAAGTAAATATTGTTTTGTGTAATTTATATACAAATTGCCCACAGTAGTCTATATCTTTAGCTTATGTTTCTACATATTCAGAATGCTGAATTCTCATTTAAACTTTAATATTAATATTTTAATTCACGAATAATTGCATCTTGAATCATGCCAATCCGCTTCAACATTTCAAGTTTTAAATGATTCTTATCTTTTGAACCATAGCAACATCAAGAAATGGCTAACATGAGAAAATCCCTACAGACGATGCTTTTTTGAGGGGTATCTCTTTTGAGAAGTAAGTTCACCGTTCTGTGAAGGGGAGCTTGTGAGTAAACAAGAGATCACTTTACCGTAATTTCATCTTTTTACCGACCAATGACCAGCTCAATAGACATTCAACAAACTTTAAAACGGTTTACTGACTTTATAAACAGTTAACCACTGTATAAATTGTTGAACAAATGTATAAAATATTTCCCAATTTTGCAGACTGTTGACCACCTTTTCAAAAGTTTGACGAACTTTGTATTAAAGGTTCATTAACTTTTGACCATATTTACAAAGTATAGGCCAACTTGTTGGTTTACTGCAGTGTTATGCAGTATCATGCTGACTAATCTCACATATTGTGGTTTTTCAAACAATTCGTTGTTCAGAAGCAATGATAAATGCTCATTCTAAAATGGAAATTAGAAATATATCAATTAATTAGAAGTATATCTATCAATTAATTATTATTTATTTACTATAATTTGTATATAGTATTTATAGTAACTCAAATTATTTATAATAGTTCAAACAGTATTTGTTAGCAAGGTTTTGGTATCACAATAGATTGAATTGCAGGTTTCATAGTTAAAAAAGATACAATCGCAGTTTACAAACCTTGGCTAACTGTTCTTACTGTCAATATACTAATCAACACAAAAGCAAAGTGTGATCATTCTATTCATTTTGTTAAACCTTTTATTGGATAGGAAACCACACCAATTAGTAGGTTTAAAATAGGATTGTGGTTTGGAATTCTAAATGAAATTTAAAAGGAAATATGTGATTTATTAAGATTAACTGTTCACAAAATCTGAAAAAAGTAAAGTGTTAATACTACAACAGTTTTATCCCTAAAGGAGGGATTAATTCATACCTAATTTAATATATTTCAGAAAAAAATAGGTTATAACTTGCCTTAATATTTTCTTATTGTTCAATATAATATAAACATGAGTTATTTATGAAAGGTAATGATATGGAAATATAAACATTTATGAATAGTAATATACTTTCGATAGAGTAAAAAATTGTTTGTGTAAATTCCAATTTGAATCTCTTCAAGTTCATGAGAGCTTTGTTTCTGTGAACAATTAATCTTTAAGTACCACACACAGAACTTCCATATTCCCTAAGATTCACCTAGAATTCATTTTTGCACATGTACCTATGTTGCCAATGACCTACACTTAACGGTAAAAGCCAACACAGGGCCTGATTTGCAAGCTCAGAGCCAGCATAGGGTTGTTGAATTGGGAGGTTGTACTTAGGTAATAATCACAGGTGTAAATGGTTATATTGCAAGACCTAAAGGTAGGCCCTATCAGCAACCCACATTCACCTTAGAAATATATAGAAGCCATCTCAAATAGCCACTTGAATGTTGCCTGATACTGGCTTCATATGTATGAGTGGGACAATTGGCATCTCCAATATACCTACAATATTTAATTTTTGAATGATTCGAATAACAAGCAGTAATTGCAGTGTGGTAAGTTTATTCAGATATGATGCTTAAAAATTCAAAATATTAATTAGAATATAATGTTATTTAAAAATTTAAAACATACTATTATAGAGTAAATCAGAAACTATATTTCATTTTCAAGCACAACTTCGCAGTAACAGATTTGCTGGTGCATTTAAAGATCAACAAACAGTTTTTTAAAAATGTATTAGGATCTAATACATTTTCTGTCTGTGAATAAATCCCTATTCACAGACAGGAACTTGGCAACTGTTGAAATAATAATAAAATTGTACACAGTGTTTTCAGTTTTTTAATTGTTACATTAACTCCTTAAATGTCTATTTGCAAAACAAGTCAAACTAAACTTAGATGTAAATAATTTCAAGCGTTCACACATGAATGAGTTTTGGTTCATGGCAATTGCATAGATTATGAGTTAAAAACTTGTTTCCAGGAAGTTTTAATAGCTTGTTTTCTTGAGATGTTAAGATCTGCTTTAAATCGCAGTTAAGTTGTACTATTTATAGACTTTACGGTGTTGTTTATTGCTAAACTTGTCTATGTAAATTGTAAATGTAATGAACTATTAAATTTGAAAACCCATTGTGTAATCAAAGTCAGTGATTTATTGGTGTGATATGATATGGATTTTTTTTTTTATGATGAATATTTTGTTGTAGTAATCATTTAAAAAGTAATGGTATGTTGGTAAATGTAGTAGTAGTAGTAGTAATAATAATAATAATAATAATAATAATAATAATAATAATAATAATGATAACAATTTATAAATCTCTTTATGACCATTATTCTAGTTACTTAATCTCCATTGTCTGAGTCACTGGATATAGTCTGAGATAGCAATGCTGACTATGCTTTGCCAGTCTAAACAAGACATTGTATGTTGTTTAGCAAACTTACTTTTGAAAAATTGTAAGAGCAGTGGCAGATTTAGAGGGGACACTGGCCCCTTTATAGTTTGTAAAAAAAAATTTGTAAAGTTTTATCAGAAAATTAGTATGCTTAATTGTAAAAAAAATTAATTACAAACTCAAATTAATGAAGGTGCTAGAGGTTTAAGGGGGAATTGCTCCTTGCACCCCTAACAGGCTCTTTGCTGAAACTCCCACTCAGTTCGCCCTGAAGAGGAAGGCAGAAAAATATTGAGTGAGTGCATCATTGTTGTTGAGCAAAATGATTCTTAATAAGCATTTTTTCAGAGACATAGTGCATACAAATTTAACTGTGCATGTGTACGGTCAAACGCTTTTCTTTCGCAAAGATAAATTCACCTAGTGGGAAACAATTTTAATGAATAAGCACAGCTTCAGTCCCTAAGCAGCATAAAATTTATGAAGCCGAGCATATGCTTGCTTCGCACGACAAATCGTACCAGGGGAGGATTTAGTGGGGGGAGGGGCAGGCCGGCTCCATTCCCCTCCCAGTTGGAAAGTGAAAAAAAGAAAAAAGAAAGAAAGAAAAAGAAATAATTGATCGCCCAAAACACCTCAGATGTTATTTTCATGCGTCTAGAAAACACTAGGGGTCCAGAATGCCCCGGACCTCCTAGGGTGGTGTTATCTCTTTCGGCCCACCCTTTTCGGACATCTCTGGATTCGCCCCTGCATATGACCGTTGAACGATGAATCCAACTCCGTCCTTGAGAGAGCGCTAGATGACGCTATGCCGTCTGCTGATAGTCAGTAGCAGTCTGAATGGATCGTGATTGAAAGCTATCCGTTGCGAGTATCGTGGTGTTGCATTTTTATTTTTACAGAATTTTGTCGACTGACGACCGAAAGCATCATTCCATCCTATTATTCCATCCTATATTATTGGCGAGTTAGTACTTGCTGCTGGATGTACTGTACATAACTCAAAATAAATAAAAAATAAGGCATTCTGCTTACTACAAACTTAACTATTACAATTGTCAACTCATGCGCATTATTCTCAGTCCTTAAACACCAAATATCAAGCAATGGTAGATATTTTTTCAAAGCCCAAAATGCATGCAGATGATCTATTTTTGGTGAGGCAAGCAGCATATTTAATTGCACTTTAAAGTTTATTTTGGCTAGTATTGTTTATTAATACTCCATTCAAGGTTGCTATTAACCAACAATAATACATTCATTTTTCATTTCTACTAGTAGCTGATAATCTATTGTAGCCATTTCTACAAGTATTTCCTATTCTAATAGTTGATGATAATCCTTGTAAACCATTCCTGCTATTATTCCTTCCTTTTTCATGTACAAAGTCTTTCCATTTGAAGCAAAATTTTAATCCTGTAAAATGTCGAAATAATCTTCTGCCGAATCATGTATTACCATGTGAATACTTTCTCTGTGATAGTCCAGTCCAGTATAACTGTTTTTTTTTTCTCTTTCATATTTCTGTAATTCTTATATTTTACATACCAAAGTATGAGGCAATTACAGGATGAAACTGAGTGAACTCAGTCACATTATTAAACTTAAAGGAAACAGAGTTGTTTTTAGTCATGATAATCCTGGTGTGATTTTTGGAGTCAGAACCATGGGACAATGGAAGGCAAGCATCTTAACCACCAAGATGAAGCTCATCTGGAGGTTTACTTTACTTCCTATGTTTCAGCTCGTAGTCATGTAACATAAAAATATATCACATTCTAACAATAGTAAATAAAACAAGGTTACAGTACATAACAGGCTGCAGAAAACTAGGAATATTTGCATTAATATTAATATTTTTAATGTGACCAACATAGCTGATTTTAAAGCCCAAACACACCAATAAAAGCGCAACAAAGCGATGCGATAAACGAGACAACAAGTGGCAAGTGACAAACAACGTAACAATTGACACAAAGAGGTGCTTAGACTGAAAAGCCTTATCGTTGCATGACAAACATTGCAATGTTTTAACTTTTGTGATGTTGCTCTAATTGTTGTCAAAGACATTTTGATTCCCTGGACTCGCAGCTGGTAGGCAAGAAATAAAAATTGTTGAATTTATAGAACAGTCACTTGCTACATTCAGTCATCAAATTTGCAAGTCTTGTGTTGCTTTGTCACTTCAATGTGACCCAATTTTCCTAGATATTATCGTAATTTAGTATCGTCCTATCATGTTGTCGCGTTGGAGTGAGCAGCAGTGGCATATTTATTGGAGGGTGTGGGGAGCGCACCCCCCAAAAATTACGGTCAGGTGTTTAAAAATCATTTAAATTCACCATATTTTGCAAATTAGCACCTCTCAACTGATCATCGAGCCCCCCCCCACCTTCGCGTCCCCCTCATCAGACCCCCCAATTCAAGACTTCTAGATACGCCACTGGTGAGCAGTTATTGATAGAGCCATTTCCAGAAAGTTTTTAATATTGTTTCCGAGTACACATACCTAAAAATAAAACAGGTCCTGGTTCCACAATTACTTGGTATGGAAAAATATTAAAACGTGTTATATGGAATGGAGGAAGTGTAATGGAATTCCATTAAGTATTAAACATTAACCATATATCCTGATTTGGAAAATATGAATATATTCCCTGATACTCAGGCCTATGACCAGGTGTAACAAGGTGTATTTTTTTTAATTTTTTTTTTTTTTTGTTAGAAAATTCGCACCGGATTACGTCTTGGGTGATTTACATTTTTCCTTCTTCACATCCAACATGTAAGTTACTTGCCAGTCATAAGTCTCTTAATGAGGCTTAAAGGGTGGATTGTTTTTGGTTGTGAGAAAAACCTTGCTGGAGAGGATTTGAACACAATACCCTGGGAATGGAAGGCAAGTTACAGGTTAACAGTATATAACTCCACTCTAGAATACTCTGTTTAATCCAGCCTTCAGAATGTGTGCAGGTACGGCTTTATTAATATTATTACTGTACTTTTACTGGTACAGCATTGGTAATATATTTATTTAATATTATTTAATATTAATATCACATTATCATTATTATTGTTAATAATATATAATTTCCATAAATCATTTTCAAGGATGAATAAAAATCATATTACAAAAACAGATGTATTATGATTGCCTTATTGTGTTTGAATATTTCTGGTGGTAGAGTGTATGTTGACAAATTTGTATCACAATTGTTAACTTAATGCTTAAGACTGAAGACCTAACTTGAACTCAAGTGCTCCTTTGTCCAGTCAGTTTTAGTATGTCTGATAGAAACCACTTCAAAGTTTATTCTACCACTTAACATCTTTGTGACAGTGTTGCCATGAACATTTTTTTGACGGACTTCATTGCATATTAATCATATGACCATGAATTAATAATCATCAGATTTTCTATTGTAAGATTCTCATCATACTTAATAAATCATCATGCGATTGATAATATGATTGGATCATGCATATTGACCAATCATTTATGAATACTTACCATTATAGCTCCCTCCCATCTCTTACATCAGTCTTTTTACACAATTAGTTCAGTGGTGGTGCCAGTGGGAGTCTAGGGAGCACAGGACCCCATTGGGTAACCCTGACCACCAGGCCCGTATTTTTTATGGTTCGGGAGAACCCCCCCTTTTTCTAGCAAACCTTCTGGTGAAACCCCCTCTTTAAATTTCCCAAATAAGTCCTCCAACCCAACTAAAGCACTGTAGACCCACCCAGACACAAACATTTTCAAACATATCTGCTTTTATAGCATTATTTAGACCCATAAAGCACAAAAATCCTCTTGCTTTGGGGGTTTCGCCAACCCCACCGGGGCATCGACTGTGGACCTGACGTCCAGAAAACCCCCCCTTGGAAGAATCTGGCTACGGGCCTGACCACCCTATCGGGAAAGAAGCCAATTCTTTTGTCGGGGAACACTGCCTTAAACATTTTTTGCAGTCTAAGAGTGCCAATTATTGGGTACTCGGGGGTGCCTATTCTTCAGAATTGCTCCAAACAGGGTGGGTTAGAGGTGAATTTTGATCCTTGTTGGGGAAGCTGACTCTCTCTTTGGTGAATTAACACCCCCTGTTGGGGACCTTTGGAGGCATCGTCACTGAAGTGGTGGCAACACATGGGAAGACCTCCAACCAAATGGTGGTGAGTTTGAATCTTATGGTGGTTGTCTAGTCTATTTCCTGTGTCATATTTCCTCTGGCTATATTCACTTGTGTTTTATCACCAGTGTTTTTGTATATCCTGGATGCATTCCTGGTTGATTTCCCTCTATCAATCATTCATTCATAGCTTACCATCTGTCATACCTATTCTTCAACTACATATATTGTACAGTGTATTTTAGCAGCTCATTCTCAAATATTGTAGGATCCTGTTTTAAGCCCTGTTTTTATTTTTGCCCATATATGGACATGATGACGTTATATATTTCATGAACCTATATGCATACACGTGCATATGTAAGTATGTGTATGTATGCATATATGCTTGTATGTATATGCGTACGTATATACGTATGTATATGTATATATATATATATGATATGTGTACATATGTATGTATATGTATATATATATATATATATATATATATATATATGATATATGTATGCATCATTGTGTATATATAATTTTTAATATAAACTTTATTTTAACTTTTTAAATGATTTCACTATATAATGTAAAATTTAACCCATTCTGAAGTTCATAAT